ATATATATATATATATATATATATTTGTTTTTATTTATTTATTTTTAAAGGTAACATTACATGAAAATCTGACTTTTCCAGGTTGTAAGTGCTATAATCAGGTGCAGCTACCAACCAAGGAAACGTGAGAAAGATGAACCCAGTAACTTTGTTTTGGGACGCCTTTTTCTGCAAGCGTCTGAGAAAACCAGCGCGTCTGATTTCACTCCCTTGGTGCCGTGGCAAAGGATCTCATTATAATATTACCGCTCCTTAATCTGTGAGTTTACACCCACAAAGTTTCCACCCACGGCACCGTCATTTTGATTTCGCAAGCGACAACGGTGTAGCAGCTCTAAAGCCATGGTGAAAGTTTGAGCGAAACACGCTAACTGTTCTGTGTTTGGCTGCACAGACGAGCACAGAACACTGTTTAGAGTCCCAGCCTCAGAGGAGACGACAGAGCAGTGCATTTATTGATTTATTTACTGTATATTGCTGCTGCCACACAGAATATTTGTTTTTATTTATTTATTTTTAAAGGTAACATTACATGAAAATCTGACTTTTCCAGGTTGTAAGTGCTATAATCAGGTGCAGCTACCAACCAAGGAAACGTGAGAAAGATGAACCCAGTAACTTTGTTTTGGGACGCCTTTTTCTGCAAGCGTCTGAGAAAACCAGCGCATCTGATTTCGCTCCCTTGGTGCCGTGGCAAAGGGATCTCATTATAATATTACCCCCCCTTAATCTGTAGGTTTCCACCCACGGCACCGTCATTTTGATTTCGCAAGCGACAACGGTGTAGCAGCTCTAAAGCCATGGTGAAAGTTTGAGCGAAACACGCTAACTGTTCTGTGTTTGGCTGCACAGACGAGCACAGAACACTGTTTAGAGTCCCAGCCTCAGAGGAGACGACAGAGCAGTGCATTTATTGATTTATTTACTGTATATTGCTGCTGCCACACAGATCTAAAATAAACATGCGATTTATTTCCCAGCTGTTTACCTTCACAGACATAACCCACTGTTTTTGTAACTCATGTGTTTTTAACGTAAGCTTGTGTGAATGAGAACTTAGTTTAGTACTCGCATGCTGCGACAGCCGCTTTCTGTGCGTGTGCTTCAGATGTGTGCGCTCAGAAAACCCTATATCAGAAGTTTAAACTCATATGGTTTAAAATGCATGATTTCAGCGAGATAAACATGATAATCAGAACCAAAACAGATGTTTTTAGCAGGTCCGAGGTGTAATGGCGCAGCTCTATTCGGGAAAAGGGGGCGGGGAGCAGCAGCTCATTTGCATTTAAAGATACAGGCCCGAAAAACAGCGTGTTTCTGCTTCCACTCAAAATAGGCATTTTCAGAATGCTATAATAAATGATCTGTGGAGTATTTTGAGCTGAAACTTCACAGACACATTCTGGGGACACCAGAGACTTATATTACATATTGTAAAAAGGGGCATAATATGTCTCCTTTAACTGTTCAAAGATGTTTTAATTTATGTCTGATATTGTGCTGGAGTCTGTATCTCTGTTGGTTTCCCTGCGGATCAATCGCTCCTAATTGCTTTCGCTTCAGTAGACATCAGGAATTTCACAGCTGCTCCTGCGGCGGA